GTTCGCCCAGGCGCTGCAGCGTGAAGGTGCCCGCACTAAACGTCTTCTTATTCTTGAGGTTGGTAATGATGAGGCTTCCATCCTCGGCCTGTCGAATGCCCTTGTCCGATTTGCGCCTCCAGTCTGATTCCGAGTAGCCCGTAAGCCTCACGAACCATTCCTCGCAGTTGATTACCTTCTGAACCGACCCCCCTTCCTCTCCATCGCTACTATCGCTGTCGCTGTGCATTTGTGGCGATGACGACTTTGATCTTCACCCAAAATTCTTGTGTTTTATGCGAAATACGAAGGAGGAAGGGTGCACCACGGCACAACATGTGACGAAGAAGAGGAAGAGCAAGGCCAGCTTGGGCCTGCCCAACTCTTACCTTCTAGCACGACTGATCGTCCACAGCGCGTTTTTTGGGTTTCTGGTGGGTGGGCGCCTCGGGCTCGTCGGTCTGGTGTGCCTGGGGTGTCGGTGAACTGGGGCGCTTGCGCTTAGAGGTCACGCCCCGGGGCGACGCCGCATCACCCGCGTCGCGGTGCGCAGCCAGCAGCGCGTCGATGCGCCTTGGGGAGGGGGCAGTACGCATAAGGTCAGAGCAATGAGGGATAGAAGCAAGCGGGAGAGGACTCGTCGTACTGGGCCTTGTCGGTCGAGCAGGAGTGTCCAAACAATCGCCGTGGATCGGCGCCGCATTTCAGTAGAGCCTCGACCATTTCTTCGTTGCTCTTGCTCACTGGCACCGCACACGCACACGCACACACCGCACACGCACACGCGTACCACAACTTCAATACTGTGGAGCGTAGTGGAGACAAAGTGTGATCAGTGTTCGTACCAGCGTGGCGGAGGGGCGACGTGGTGCCGATGCCAGGGACGAAGCAGATGGCGTTGATGTCGGCGCCTCGCTCCTCGAGCAGCCGGTACACTGCGACGCGGCCCTCCAATGGTGCGAGGCCAGGCGCCGTGTAGATCTCCCACACCAGAATAGGCATTTCCGCCAACAACCCGCCATTAGGGTCAGGCACGGCTGTTCCCATCGCACACGCCACACGCACCAACACACACGGCACACGGCACACGTCACACGTCACACGGCACAACATGAGCGAAAAAAGAGAAGACAGGCAAGGTGGTCGTGGCGTCGCACCAGTGATGAGCCTCATCAGGGTGGCCGGTCGCAGGGCCGTGCTGGGCAGCCGCGCGTAGGCCTCTATGGGCGAGGGGGACGTCACCTCGGCCCCGCAGTCGAGCAGGTACTCGATCACCTCGTTGTGCCCCTCCTTCGCAGCCGACCACAGCGCGTTGCATAACTCCCTGTGTGCGCCAACTGGTCTTGAGCTCGTGTCGTGTCGCATGGTCGTGTCGTGTGTGTTGTCGTTGATCGTATCGTACCCGGGAGCCAGCGTCTTGTGGAATTCGGGGCCAAAGAGCTGCACCACGGGCAGATGCCCACCACGCGCAGCGCGGCATACCGCGCTTCGCGCCTCCACGTCGGGCATCACAACGAACTGTTGAGGAGTTAAGGCCGGGCGGATGCCGAATCCGAATCCGAGTGTGGAGCTGCTGAGGCTGTAGAGCTTTGCCAGCTGCGCTACCACCTTTGTATGGTCCCAGCTGGTTGTGTATGTGGTGTGTGTGTTAGACTAGGCTCAAAACGCAACAGGGAGTGTCGACCAGTAATACCGAACTCGCAACAAGGAGCGCCGGAAAGGCCTCTGATTTGGAGTTGCCGGTTAGGCTGTGGTCGTGGAGGAGCTGAATGAGCTCGTGGTTGCCCCAGCGCGCGGCCTCCAGCATCGGCGCATAGCCCATCAGTGCCTCTTCAAGTCCGCGACCCAAACTTGTTCTTGTCGGCTGCCCACTCGTGAGTGCGCCTCTCTGAATGAGCACCTGTGAATGTTGTGATGAGCAACACACACGACACACGACACGCACAACACACGGTACACAACACACGCACCTCAACGCTCTCAACGTCATTGGCGCAGGCGGCAGCGCGGAGGGCCTTGGTGACGGCCGTCGAGGCGCGGGCGGTGATCGACAGCTCGCGCCAGTAGCGCCGGAGGAGCGTGGCCACGAGCCGCGTGCACCCGAGCCGCGCGGCCCACTCGAGCCGGCCCTCGGGTGACACGCCCCACTTGCGCACGCGCCGCACCTTCCACTCCAAGGCTGCGCGCCACTCGTCGGCGCCGAACCAGGCCTCGTGCTCGACTCGCCGCAGCCTGCGGTTCAGCCGGTCACGTTCGAAGGGCCTGCCGACCACTCGGTACCTGCCCATGCCCGTCTGGAAGGCGGCACTGCCAAATGCTGACGTGGCATCGGAGTCTGTGAAGTGGACGGGGTAGTTGAGGGGCAGGGCGGGGGCGGTGAGCAGGGCGGGCACGAGGGGGCCGCCCAGCAGTTGGTCGTGGAAGGCGCGCCACAGGGGCGGGTCGGAGTGGAACACGGCGCGCCACCGACGGCAGGTGAGGGTGACCGCGGCCGTGTGGATGGGCTCCAGCAACCCGAACACGGCAACCCACACCTCGTCAGGCAGGTCGAGTCCAGCAGGCACCCCTGCTTTGTCTTCCATCTTTTTGACGATGTATCCAAGAAGCCGCTGCACGGCAGCTCTGTGTGCGTTCCTTAAATGACATTATTATTAATATATTATTTTTAAGTCGAATAGCAGATACTCCCACGAACCAAACAAAATAACAAACAAGAACTTGCATTGTACCCCCCCACTTTCTCCCTACCCTCTGTCCTTTTTGCTCTGCCGGAACTGCAGTTCCTTTGCAGAAGTCGGAGATGGAGCAGTCGCCGTTCAGCAGCGATCAACCAGAGGGGGGCGAGCAGAGGCAGGAGGAAAACAGGGAAGAGGAGGAGCAAGACCCCGTCGACGCACTGAACGAAAAACTGCGCACTGAAGCGTACGCCCTCCTCTGACTGCACCTCCACTGGACCTCCGTTTTGTGTAATCGACACTGTGGAGGCAGAGGCGGCGCAGGAGGCGGCAGCATTCCCTCCCATCCAAGGGCCGTGGCAAGCCGTCGGTGAGTGGCGTGGCCAGACGATCTTGGCGAGTCCGGCGGCGCCCTTTCCGGTCGAAAAGTTGGTCGACGCGTGGAATCTCGCACAACTGAAGAAGCGGGCCACGGAGGAACGCGATGCTGTGGCACAGTACCGCCTGGCCAAGGCGTACATTAAGGGACACCACGGCGTGGCCCAGAGCGCAGAGACTGCTGTTGGCTGGGCCGACAAGGCCGCCCGCCAGGGCCATGCCGGCGCGCAGTTCCTCCTGGGCAAGATGTACGCGGGCGGCTTCGGCGTGGAGCGGAACGCGGACGAGGTCCTGGGCTGGTGGACCAAGGCCGTTCGGAAGGGCCACAAGCAAGCCCAGTACCACCTGGGCCGCCTGTCGAGCGCAAAGCAACCGAATGAAATTGCATTCTTACAATCAAACATTACACCAACCGAAGATGATGATGAACATCGTCGTTACCTTGCGGCTGCCGTCGGATGGTGAGGTTTTTTATGCTGGAGAAACTCGAAGTGTATTTGTGGCTTTACCGCCTCCTGCACGGCATGACCACCCAGAGAACCAAAATGATGGGGAGAAAGACCCATGTGGCAACCAGTAGGAGAAACACCACTAGCCAGGTGCAGCCAAGCAGATGACCAGGTGGCCTGGAATGGCCCCAACAGGTTGAGGAGATGTATGCTCTGCCACAATTGGCAGGCCCTCCAGACACCAGCTTGGCCATGATGAAGGTGACCAACACAAGCACACCCAGCACCTTAGCAAGGAGATCTAGGTGGTATTGAAAGGATCACCTACTTGGAAGCCTGCTCATCCACACCATTGACCACATCTTGGCCACCATCACCACCAAATTAGTGATAAATAAATATGTGCAGATGGCAGCTCATATTGACCATAAAACACAGTGCTTGTTAAAAAGTGACAGTGCCACTTTTTGATTTTTCGAAATTGTACACACAATGTGTCTTTGGATACCAAAACATGGGGGAAAAGGCAAGTTAAACAGGGTGCACTTTGGCATTTTGTGTGTGAAGTGGGCAGTGGTGATGTGAGGGTATCAAAGAAAAAAGTAGCAATTTATTGGAGTTAAGTGGGATGAAGTGAACATTTAACCAAGGGACTTGTGCTGCTTTCAGCCTTAAGAGGAAGTGGAAGAGGTGGAAGAGCTGGCCAGCACACTGTGTGTTTGGCCTGTGGAAGAGAACTTCTGCTGGTGGCTACAACCTCACCTACATCCAGTGGTTGGTGGCTTCAGGGTGACAATGCAGATTCCAATAACCACCTTGAGTGGCTTGTAGCACTTCTGAAGTTGCACAACATGTGCCTTGTCCTCCTTACTGAAGTTGTTCCCTTTGCTGGGGGGAAACTTGGTGAAGCTGGAGGCATGTCTGTTGGTGAGGTGTTTGATGTTGTCAAACTGAAATATAAATGTATAATGCATAACAGAAAATTGTGGCATGGTTGATGAGACCCCACAATTTGTACCATCCAACACAAACAACAAACAAAATGGAGAGAAGACAAGTCTCATCTCAACTTGGGCCATCCAGATGCCAGTTGTGGAGACAAAGTGCTGGGTGTCCTGGTGCATTGGGCTTTATTTATGTTTATGCCAATTTCTGATGCTCCTGCACAGCTCAACCACCAAGAAAAGTAACAATACACATGAAGCAACCAGAACTGATAGCACCTTAGCAAGGGCACGGAGATCTGTGTGGTGTCAAGAGAGGATCAGCTACTCATTAGGGGGTGGGAGAAGAAGGACAGACATACCTGCAAGCAGCTGCTCCATGGTCGATGGCGCAAGAATGGCCGCTAGCTCCTTGACGACGTCATCCGCCGAAGGTCTTGTGCTTGCCTCCTGGCGCCAACATTGGCCAATGAGATCCTGCAGCTTCTTCCCGCGCCGCAGCCTCGTGATGCGCTCATCATCGAGCGCTGGCCGGTTGAACTCACTAACAGCCCACCACTCGAGCGTGTCGCGAGGGTCAGCGTAGGGCAGACGCTCCGTGAGGAGTTCCCACAGCAGCTTGCCGAATATGAAGACGTCCTCCTTTATCCTCATCTCCGCTTCTTGGCCGGGCGTCAAGGCCGTGAATTTGGTCAGCTTTGGCGTGTTGTCGCTCATCACCACCACTCGGCGCAGCCTCAGGTCTGCGTGCGAATGCGTGGGGGTGCGAATGAGTGTGCGTTCGCGCAAGGCGTGAGAGGGGGGGGGGGAGAGTAGCACCGCACGCGAAGGGCGGGTTTCGGGAGTGGAGGTAGCTCTGGCCCAGGGCCACGCCGAGCGCGAGCTTTACTTTGTCGGTGGCGGTGAGTCTATTGGCATGCTTTCGTATGTAGTGGCCCAGGCTTCTATGCTCAGCCAGCTCCGTGAAGAAAAGCCATCTTGATGTTCGCTCACGCCCTTTAGCTTGATGACGTTCTCGTGATCGAGTCTCCTGCATCACCATTTCTCCTGTCAACACGTCATGTCGTGCGTGTGCGTGTGCGTGTGCGTGTGCGTGTGCGTGTGCGTGTGCGTGTGCGTGTGCGTGTGCGTGTGCTGGTGGCATGCGTACATGGCCTGGGTAACTGTCGTCAGCAATTGCTCGTCGGTGATGTGCCTCTTGTTTACAGTTCGGGCGGCAACCGTGGTTACCTCGGCTCCTTCTTCCAATACCATCTCGTGGATCTCACCGCGGGTCCCGATGCTGATTCCCTCACCCCTCTCGAAGCAGTCCTCTGGGCCGACAACTGATGCCATGCCAAACGCTCGGTCAGTCATGTATGTAACATCTCCACACATCACATGCACACATGGGCGTACATCTGCACATTGATCGAAGGCTTGTGACGACCGATTCTGGCGCAAATCGCAGGGGTCCCCTCTCGTGCGCGGAGATCTCTGCAATCGAGCGCCTCGACGGGTCAGTTCAGTCTGCTAAACACAGCGCGATGCGACACGACGATATGGACGACAGGCACGTACTCGAGTGAAGGTACTGAAGCTCGCGCATCACCTCTGCTGCTGACGGCCGCGAGGCAGACGCAAGTTGGCAACAACGCTCGGCAAGGCTTTGCAATTCTCGGCCGACCGAGAGAGCCACGATG